CGAGACTGGAAAAATGCAAGGAAGGCAGAGAAGAAATACTTTAAATATAAAGAAAATAAAGCACCATATCAAGCTCTTCGTGAAGCAAAAGAAAACTTCTTACAGCTCAGAACTTCCTTTGACAGAACTTTCCAAAAATGCAAACGTAACTATCAAAGACAATGGCAGGTCAATGTAGAAAATTTAAAATGTAATAATCCTGCTAGTTTTTGGAATGAAATAGAGAAGTTAAAACCAAAGGTAAAAAATCCAATTCCACTTGAGGTATATGATGATGAAGGTAATGTAATAAACAATATTGAATATGTTATTGATAAATGGAAAAAGGATTTCAGTGTACTACACTATGTTGAAGAAGTTAATGCAAATCGTGATTTTTATCACATTTTCTATGAGAATATCAAAACTAGATATAGAAACTTGAGCACAAAATCATCTGCAAAATATATCAAGAGCTTTTAATGATCCACTCCAGATAAGCGAAGTTGTTAGAGTAATTTGTAATACAAAAAATGGAAAAGCTGTCAATGGTGAAATTGATCCCTTGCCGAATCAAGTCTTTAAAAATGATGTATCCATAGATCTTTTATTTAAGTTATTCTCAGCATGCTTTGAAAATGGAATACAACCGAAAATATTCGGCAAGGGAACAATTAATCCCATTCCAAAATCGGGTAATAACGACCGAAGAATCCCACAATAACAGAGGCGTCATGTTACTATCGTGTGTTGGGAAAATGTATTCAGGACTTTTAAATAATCGATTAAGATACTTTCTGGAAGTAAATGAGCTTCTGTCGGAAGAACAAAATGGATTCCGTAAGGGTCGAAGTACCACTGAGCACATTTTCTCATTAATTTTCTCATTAATAACATGCAAAAATCGTCTTAAAGCAAGCAAACGTTTTGTTGCTTCGTAGATTTTCAGAAAGCATTCGATTGTGTGGATCGAATTTGCCGATTTACAAGATTATTAGAAATAGGTATAACAGGTAAGCTATTCAATGCCATTAAATCATGTTACGAACATACAACATGTCGTATTAGATAACATAATTATGTAAGTGAATCATTTGAGAACCAAATAGGTGTCAGGCAGGGAGATTCTTTGAGCCCTACTCTCTTCATATTGTTCATCAACGACTTAGCGGAGGAAATCAAACGGAGTGGAATCGGTGTAGATTTCCATGGTGTAACTATCTCACTCCTACTTTATGCAGATGATGTTGTTCTTTTGGCTGAGGCTGAATCAGATTTGCAAAACCTCATCTTAATTCTAAATAGCTGGTGTAAACGATGGAGACTCAATGTAAACAAATCGAAAACTCAAATTATGCATATTAGAAAACAAAATCAGTCACGCTCAGAATTTGTTTTTAAATTAAATGACGGTGAGGTTTTGCAATATGCATCAGCCTATAAATATTTAGGTCTATTGCTCGATGAGCACATGAACGCTTCCACCCTTACCTACGATTTGTCTATTAGAGGCTCGGAAGCACTCGGATCTTTACTAGACCATTTCTATGCCAATAATGGGATGGGGTTTTCCACATTCAAAACATTATATGAAGTTTGCATAGCGAAGGTATGTGACTACAATGCAGGTGTGTGGGGATACGGTACCTTTCCCAAACTCGATAGTGTCCATAGCCGAGCGTTGAGGTGTTACCTCGGAGTCCATAAATACGCTCCTTTGGCCGCTTTGGAAGCCGAGATGGGCTTCAATTCTCCGCCAGTTAGGAGGAAGCTGGAAGATATTTGAAGTTGAATTTATAAATAAACATAGTTGGTGTTCAGATATCAAATCTGTTTTCTATGAACTAGAATGTGAATATATTTATCAAAATAAAATGATGGTTAATGATATAAAAGGAATACATGACAAACTGAGTGATATATATCAAAGGCATCTACTTCAAGAAATCAGTTCAAAACCAAAACTAAGAACTTACAAAATCATCAAGACAGACTGTAATCCAGAGCCGTACGTAATGAAACATATGGCTCGGAAGAAGCGCGCTGTTTATGCACAATTTAGGATTGGAATTCTTCCATTGAGAATAGAAACGGGTCGATTCACGAATGGGCCTCTTCAAGAGCGCATTTGCGAATACTGTGATGATAATGTGATAGAGGACGAAATCCATTTTCTTCACGAATGTAGTTTATATAGCGGCCTGAGACAAGAACTGATGCGGAAATGTTCGGAGAGGAACAGAGAATTTATAGGTTACGACAAAGAAATGAAACTAAGATATTTGCTAAATGATCAGCAAATTTGATGATTTCAATAAATTTCATTACAGCAGCTTTTTTCAAAAGAAAATGTTCATAATTAAAAATAGCATGATCTTAATAATAATAATAATAATAATAATAATATTAATAATGTATTGCATGGAGTTTTAAACTTGAATTAATGTTTTTTTTTATGTATAGTCAATGTTTTTATGTATGTTTTATGCAATTGATTTTAGATTTACTTTTCATCAGATAGTGTCTGGGTAAGTCCTAATGGACTGGATACACGCAATTTAATGTATTGAATTGTATTGTTTTATATTTGATTGTAAATGTATCGTGACACTTTAATAAATAAACAATTGATAAAATTGATTGATTGATTATCCACCGAAGCCTTCAAACAGATATATTATTCGTTGATATATCTTCATCTTACTTATTGTAATGTTGTATGGAGTGGAGTCCCCAAGAATCGCCTCAAATGTCTGTTTATTGCTCAGAAGAAAGTCATAAGATGCATTGCTCGCCTGCACAGGTATGGCCACACCAATGCAGCTTTCAGAGAACTAAATATATTAAAATTTTATGAACTGAATGATTACTGTTCTGCCACATACGTTTTTAAATGTCTAAGATGCCCAGATAACACAATGTTTAATTATCGCAATAATGCTTTAAGAAATGCTTCGCTTCTCCAACTCCCATTTTGTAACTCGTCTCAGTCAAAGACAGTTATAGATTACCGTGGTCCAAAGATCTGGAACACTCTCCCCGAAAATCTGAAGAATAAACCTACCTTTGAAGCGTTCAAAAAGACTCTCAAGCAATACTTCGTGGCCAAATATAACTATAACAATGTAGAGTAAAATACTGTATAAATAATATTCATAACCAAACATATTCTGATACTTGATCCTTAAACTACATTATCTACCATTATTATCTCGTCTTTGTATTTGATTCCATGTTCTGTATAGTTTATTTTACTAACTTGTCTCTGCCGTTGTAATGTATGACCAATGTATTTGTCTATATTGTCTCCTGTATATTTTATTCTGGGTACCCATCAATATAACTGATGAACATGACCCAAATTCTTTGTACATACTTTGTTAATCAACAGCCTTTTCAAGAGAGTTTCGCTCTCAAAAGGCTGAGCCACGTTTTATACAACACTAAATGTACCCACATTATCTGTATTACTATTTATGGCTAAATAAACTGTTTCAAGTTCAATTTCAGTTTCAAAGGGATAGGTTTTTTCGGACTCTTTTAAAGGGATTAAGGTTATTTCGGACTCTGTAAAAGGGATAAAGGGTGTTTCGGACTCTTTCAAAGTGATAGGGGGTGTTTCGGACTCTTTCAAAGGGATAGGATTTTTTCGGACTCTTTCAAGGGGATAAGGGGTGTTTCGGACTCTTTCAAGGGGATTGGGGGTGTTTCGGACTCTTTCAAAGGGATAGGGGTGTTTCGGACTCTTTCAAGGAGATAGGGGGTGTTTCGGACTCTCAAGAGGATACGGGGTGTTTCGGACTCTTTCAAGGGGATTGGGGTGTTTCGGACTCTTTCAAGGGGATTGGGGGTGTTTCGGACTCTTTCAAAGGGATAGTGGGTGTTTCGGACTCTTTCACAGGGATAGGGGGTGTTTCGGACTCTTTCAAATGGATAGGGGTGTTTCGGACTCTTTCAAAGGGATAGGGAAAAGGGATAGGGGGTGTTTCGGACTTTTTCAAAGGGATAGGGGGTGTTTCGGACTTTTAAATGGATAGGGGGTGTTTCGGACTCTTTCAAAGGGATAGGGGGTGTTTCGGACTCTTTCAAGGGGATAGGGGGTATTTCAAACTCTTTCAAAGGGATAGGGGGTGTTCCGGACTCTTTCAAAGGTATAGGGGGTGTTTCAAACTCTTTCAAATGTATAAGATTATTTCAGACTCTTTGAAACGGATAGGGNGTTTCAAAGGGAAAGGGTGTTTCGAAACTGCTTGTCAAAAAGGGATAGGCGTGTTCGGACTCTTAAGGGGTAGGGTTGTTTCGCACTGTTTAAAGGCATAGGAATGTTGTCGAATCTTTTAAAAGGATAGGGGGTGTTCGTACCCCCACAAAGTGATTGGGGGTGTTACAGGCTCTTCCAAATGGATGATGTGTTTCAAAGTCTTTCATAGGGATTGTGGGTGTTTCGGACTCTTTCAAGGGGATAGGGGGTGTTTCGGACTCTTTCATAGGGATAGAGGGTGTTTCGGACTCTATCAAGGGGATAGGGGGTGTATCGGACTCTTTCGAAGGGATAGGGGGTGTTTCGGAATCATTCAAGGGGATAGGGGGGTTCGGACTCTTTCAAGAGGATAGATTTTTTCGGACTCTTTCAAAGGGATAGGGGATGTTTCGGACTCTTTCAAACGAATAGGTGTTTTGGACTCTTTCAAAGGGTTTTCGGGATGTTTCGGACCCTTTCAAGGGGATAGGGGATGTTTCGGACTCGTTCAAAGTGTTTAAGGGTGTTTCGGACTCTTTCAAAGGGATTGGGGGTGTTTCGGACTCTTCCAAGGGGATAGTTTTTTCGGACTCTTTTAAAGGGATAGGCGGTGTTTCAGACAGATATGGAGTTTTTCGGACTCTCAAGGGGATAAGGGGTGTTTCGGGCTCTTTCAAGGGGATAGGGGTGTTTCGAGCTGTTTCAAAGGGAAAGGGGTGTTTCGGACTATTTCAAAGGGATATACCGTGTTTCGGACTCTTTTAAAGGGATAGGCGGTGTTTCAGACTCTTTCAAAGGGATTGGGGTTGTTTCGGACTCTCAAGGGGATAAGGGGTGTTTCGGACTCTTTCAACGGGAAAGGGGGTGATACGGGCTCTTTTAAGGGGATAGGCGGTGTTTCAGACTCTTCCAAAGGGATAAGGGGTGTTTCGGACTCATTGAAAAGGATAGGGGGTTTTTCGAACTTTTTCAAGGGGATAGGGGTGTTTAGGACTCTTTCAAAGGGATTAAGGGTGTTTCGGATTCTTTGAATGGGAAAGGGTATGTTTCGGACTCTTTCAAAAGGATAGGAGGTTTTTCGGACTCGTTCAAAGGGATAGGGGTGTTTCGGACTCTTTCAAAGGGATAGGGGGTGTTTCGGACTCTTTCAAAGGGATAGGGGGGGTTCGGACTCTTTCAAAGGGATAGGACGGGTTTCGGACTCTTTTAAAGGGATAGGCGGTGTTTCAGACTCAAAGGGATTGGGGTTGTTTTGGACTCTCAAAGGGATAAGGGGTGTTTCGGACTTTGGATAGGACTCTTTCAAAGGGGGATAAAGGTGTTTCGGACTCGTTCAAGGGGATACGGGTAGTTTCGGACTCTCAAGGGGATAGGGGGTGTTTCGGACTCTTTCAATTGGATAGGGGGATTTTCGGACTCTTCAAGGGGATTAGGGTTTTGGACTCTTTCAAAGGGATTGGGGTGTTTCGGACTCTTTCAAAGGGAAAGCGGGTGTTTCGGACTCGTTCAAAGGGATAGGGGGTGTTTCGGACTCGTTCAAAGGGATAGGGGGTGTTTCGGGCTCGTTCAGAGTGATAGGGGATGTTTCGGACTCTCAAGGGGATAGGGTTTTTTTCGGACTCTTTCAAATGGATAGGGGGTGTTTCGGACTCTTTCAGAGGGATAGGGGGTGTTTCGGACTGTTTCAAAGGGATAGGGGGTGTTTCGGGACTGTTTCAAAGGGAAAGGGGTGTTTCGAACTGTTTCAAAGGGATAGGGGTGTTTCGGACTCTTTTAAGGAAGTAGGGGTGTTTCGGACTGTTTCAAAGGGATAGGGAATGTGTCGGACTCTTTAAAAGGGATAGGGGGTGTTACAGGCTCTTCCAAATGGATGATGTGTTTCAAAGTCTTTCATAGGGGGTGGTCGGGGGGTGTTTCGAACTCTTTCAAAGGGATAGGGGGTGTTTTAGACTCTTACAAAGGGATTGGGGGTGTTACAGGCTCTTCCAAATGGATGATGTGTTTCAAAGTCTTTCATAGGGATAGGGGGTGTTTCGGACTCTTTCAAAGGGATAGGGGGTGTTTCGAACTCTTTCAAAGGGATAGGGGGTGTTTTAGACTCTTTCAAAGGGATAGGGGGTGTTATAGACTCTTTCATAGGAATTGTGGGTGTTTCGGACTCTTTGAAGGGGATAGGGGGTGTTTCGGACTCTTCATAGGGATTGTGGGTGTTTCGACTCTTTTCAGGGGATAGGGGTGTTCGGACTCTTTCATAGGGATGAGGGTGTTTCGGACTTTTGAAGGGATAGGGGTTTTCGGACTCTTTCATAGGGATTGTCGGACTCTTTTAGGGATAGGGGTGTTTCGGACTCTTTCATAAGATAGGGGGTGTTTCGGACTCTTTCATAGGGATAGAGGGTGTTTCGGACTCTTTCAAGGGGATAAGGGGTGTATCGGACTCTTTCAAGGGGATAGGGGGTGTTTTCGGAATCATCAAGGGGAAGGGGGGTTCGGACTCTTTCAAGAGGATAGATTTTTTCGGACTCTTTCAAAAGGATAGGGGATGTTTCGGACTCTTTCAAACGAATAGGTGTTTTGGACTCTTTCAAAGGGATTCGGGATGTTTCGGACCCTTTCAAGGGGATAGGGGATGTTTCGGACTCGTTCGAAGTGTTTAAGGGTGTTTCGGACTTTTTCAAAGGGATTGGGAGTGTTTCGGACTCTTCCAAGGGGATAGTTTTTTTCGGACTCTTTGGAAGGGATAGGGGGTGTTTAGGAATCATTCAAAGGATAGGGCATGTTCCGGACTGTTTCCAAGGGATAGAGAGTGTTTCGGACTCTTTCAATGGGATTAGGGGTGTTTCGAACTCTTTCAAAGGGAAAGGGGGTGTTCCCGGACTCTTTCAAACGGATAGGGTGTGTTTCGTACTCTTTCAAAAGGATTAGGGGTGTTTCGGACTCTTTCAGAGGGATAGGGTGTTTTGGACACTTGCAAGGGGATTGAGGTTGTTTCGGACTCTTTCAGAGGGATTAGGGGTGTTTCGTACTCTATCAAAGGGATGGGGGTGTTTCGGAATTTTTCGAAGGGATAAGGAGTGTTTCGGTCTCTTTCAAAGGGATAAGGGGTGTTTCGGACTATTTCAAGGGGATTGGGGGTATTGCGGACTCTTGTAAAGGGATAAGGGGAGTTTCGGACTCTCTCAAGGGGATTGGGGGTGTTTCGGACTCTTTCAAAGGGATAAGGGGTGTTTCGGACTCTTTCAAAGGGAAAGGGGTTGTTTTTTGACACTTGCAAGGGGATTGGGGATTTTTCGGACTCTTTCAAAGGGAAAGGGGGTGTTTCGGAATCTTTCAAGGGGATTGGGGCTGTTTCGGACTCTTTCAAAGGGAAAGGGGGTGTTTCGGACTCTTTCAAAGGGATGGGGGTGTTTCGGACTCTTTCAAAGGGATTAGGGGTGTTCCGGTCTCTTTCGAGGGGATAGGGGGTGTTTCGGACTATTTCAAAGGGATAGGGGGTGCTTTGTTCTCTTTCAAAGGGATAAGGGGTTTCGGGCTCTCTCAAGGGGATTGGGGGTGTTTCGGACTATTTTAAGGGGATTAGGGGTGTTTCGGTCTCTTTCAAGGGGATAGGGGGTGTTTCGGACTCTTTCAAAAAGATAGGGGGTGTTTCGAACTCTTTCAAGGGGATTGCGGGTGTTTCGGACTCTTTCAAGAGGATTGGGGGTGTTTCGGACTCTTCCGAAGGGATTGGAGGTTTTTCGGCCTCGTTCAAGGAGATAGGGGTGTTTCGGACTCTTTCAAGGGGATTGGGGGTGTTTCGAACTCTTTCAAGGGGATAGGGGTTTTTTCGAACTCTTTCAAAGGGATAGGGGGTGGTTCGGACTTTCAAATGGATAGGGGGTGTTTGGGACTCTTTCAAACGAATAGGAGTTTTTCCGGATTCTTTCAAAGTTTTTAGGGTGTTTCGGACTCTTTCAAAGGGATTGGGGGGTTTCGGACACTTTCGAAGGGATTGGGGTGTTTCGGACTCTTCCAAAGGGATAGGGTGTGTTTCGGACTCTTTCAAGTGGATTAGTGGTGTTTCGGACTCTTGCAAAGGGATAGGGGGTGTTTCGGACTCTTCCAAAGGGATAGGGGTTGTTTCGGACTATTTCAAAGGGATAGGAGGTGTTTTAGACTCTTTCAAGGGGATTGGGGGTGTTTCGGTCTCTTTGAATGGGATTGGGATTTTTTCGGACTCTTTCAAATGGATTAGGGGTGTTTCGGTCTCTTTCAAGGGGATAGGGGGTGTTTCGGACTATTTCAAAGGGATAAGGGGTGTTTCGGACTCTTTCAAGGAGATTGGGGGTGTTTCCGACTATTTCAAGGGGATTATGGGTATTTCGGTCTCTTTCAAGAGGATAGGGGTGTTTCGGACTTTTTCAAGGGGATTGGGGGTGTTTCGGACTCTTTCAAGGGGATTGGGGGTGTTTCGGACTCTTTCAAGGGGATTGGGGGTGTTTCGAACTCTTTCAAGGTGATTAGGGGTGTTTCGGACTCTTTCAAGGGGATTGGGGGTGTTTCGGACTCTTTCAAGGGGATTGAGGGTGTTTCGGACTCTTTCAAGGGGATTGGGGGTGTTTCGGACTCTTTCAAGGGGATAGGGGATGTTTCGGACTCTCTCAAAGTGATAGGGGGTGTTTCGGACTCGTTCAAAAGGATAGGGGGTGTATCGGACTCTTTCAAAGGGATAGGGGTTTTTCTAACTCTTTCAATGGGATTGGGGGTGTTTCGGACTCTTTCAAAGGGATAGGGGGTGTTTCGAACTTTTCAAGGGATAGGGGTGTTTCGAACTCTTTCAAGGTGATTAGGGGTGTTTCGGACATTTTCAAAGGGATAGGGGGGTTCGGACTCTCAAGAGGATAGTTTTTTTCGGACTCTTTCAAAGGGATAGGGGGTGGTTCGGACTCTTTCAAAGGGATAAGGGGTGTTTCGAACTCTTTCGAGGGGATAGGGGGTGTTTCGAACTCTTTCAAAGGGATAGGGGGTGTTTCGAACTCTTTAAAAGGGTTAGGGGGTATTTCGGACTCTTTCAAAGGGATTGGGGGTGTTTCGGACTCTTTCAAAAGGATTAGAGGTGTTACGGACTCTTTCAAAGGGATTCGGGATGTTTCGGACTCTTTCAAGGGGATAACGGATGTTTCGGACTCCTTCAAAGTGTTTAGGGGTGTTTCGGACTCTTTGAAAGGGATTAGGGGGTTTTCGGACTCTTTCGAAGGGATTGGGGGTGTTTCGAACTCTTTCAAAAGGATTAGAGGTTTTACGGACTCTTTCAAAGGGATAAGGGTGTTTTGGACACTTGCAAGGGGATTGGGGGTGTTTCGGACTCTTTCAAAGGGATAGGGTGTTTCGAACTCTTTCAAAGGGATTGGGGGTGTTTGGAACTCTTTCAAAGGGATTAGGGGTGTTTCGAACTCTTTCAAAGGGATTGGGGGTGTTTCGGACTCTTTCAAAAGGATTAGGGGTGTTACGGACTCTTTCAAAGGGATCAGGCGTGTTTCGGATTCTTTCAAAGGGATATGGGGTGTATCGGACACTTTCAAAAGGATTAGGGGTGTTTCGGACTCTTTCAAAGGGAGAGGGTGTGTTTCGTACTCTTTCAAAGGGATTAGGGGTGTTTCGAACTCTTTCAAAGTGATTGGGGGTGTTTCGAACTCTTTCAAAGGGATTGGGGGTGTTTCGTACTCTTTCAAAGGGATTAGGTGTGTTTCGAACTCTTTCAAAGGGATTAGGGGTGTTACGGACTCTTTCAGAGGGATAGGGGTGTTTCGAACTCTTTCAAAGGGATAGTGGTGTTTTGGACACTTGCAAGGGGATTGGGGGTGTTTCGGACTCCTTCAAAGGGATTAGGGGTGTTTCGAACTCTTTCAAAGGGATTAAGGGTGTTTCGGACTCTTTCAAAGGGATATGGGGTGTTTCGGACTCTTTCAAAAGGATTAGGGGTGTTTCGGTCTCTTTCAAAGGGATAGGGTGTGTTTCGTACTCTTTCAAGGGGATAGGGGGTGTTTCGGACTCTTGCAAAGGGATAGGGGGTGTTTCGGACTCTTTCAAAGGGATTAGGGGTGTTTCGTACTCTTTCAAGGGGATATGGGGTGTATCGGACTCTTTCAAAAGGATTAGGGGTGTTTCGGGCTCTTTCAAGGGGATTGGGGGTGTTTCGGACTCTTTCAAAGGGAGAGGGTGTGTTTCGTACTCTTTCAAAGGGATTAGGGGTGTTTCGGGCTCTTTCAAGGGGATTGGGGGTGTTTCGGACTCTTTCAAAGGGAGAGGGTGTGTTTCGTACTCTTTCAAAGGGATTAGGGGTGTTTCGGACTCTTTCAAAATGATAGGGGATGTTTCGGACTCTTTCAAAGACATTGGGGTGTTTCAAAGGGGTAGAGGGTTTTTCGGACTCTTTCAAAGGGATAAGGGATGTTTCGGACTCTTTCAAAGGGATAGCGGGTGTTTCGAACTCTTTCAAAGGGATAGGGGGGTTCGAACTCTCAAGAGGATAGGTTTTTTCGGACTCTTTCAAAGGGATAGGGGGTGGTTCGGACTCTTTCAAGAGGATAAGTTTTTTTCGGACTCCTTCAAAGGGATTGGGTGTGTTTCGGACTTATAAAGGGATAGGGGGTGTTTGGGACTCTTTCAAACGAATAGGAGGTATTTTGGACTATTAGGGGTGTTTAGGGGTGTTTCGGACTCTTTCGAGGGGATAGGGGTGTTTCGTCAAAGGGATAGGGGTGTTTCGAACTCTTTCAAAGGGATGGGTGTTTCGGACTCTTTCGGACTCTTTCAAACTTTCTTTCAAGGGTTTAGGGGTGTTTTCGAACTCTTTCAAGGGGATTGGGTGTATTTTCGGACTCTTCAAATGGATTGGGGTGTTTCGTACTCTTTCAAAGGGATTAGGGGTGTTTCGAATCTTTTCAAAGGATTAGGGGTTCTGTTTCAAAAGGATTAGGGGTGTTACGGACTCTTTCAGAGGGATAGGGGTGTTTCGAACTCTTTCAAAGGGATAGTGGTGTTTTGGACACTTGCAAGGGGATTGGGGGTGTTTCGGACTCCTTCAAAGGGATTAGGGGTGTTTCGAACTCTTTCAAAGGGATTAAGGGTGTTTCGGACTCTTTCAAAGGGATATGGGGTGTTTCGGACTCTTTCAAAAGGATTAGGGGTGTTTCGGTCTCTTTCAAAGGGAGGTAGGTGTGTTTTCGTACTCTTTCAAGGGGATAGGGGGTGTTTCGGACTCTTGCAAAGGGATAGGGGATGTTTCGGACTCCTTCAAAGGGATTAGGGGTGTTTCGTACTCTTTCAAGGGGATAGGGGGTGTTTCGACTTTCAAAGGGATAGGACGTGGTTTCGGACTCTTTCAAAGGGATTAGGGGTGTTTCGTACTCTTTCAAGGGGATATGGGGTGTATCGGACTCTTTCAAAGGGATTAGGGGTGTTTCGGACTCTTTCAAGGGGATTTAGGTCGGACTCTTTCAAAGGGATTTGGGTTTCGAACTCTTTCAAAAAGGGATATCGTGTTTCGAACTCTTTCCAAGGGGATAGGGGTATTTCGGACTCTTTCAAGGGGATTGGGGGGTGTTTCGGACTCTTTCAAAGGGATTGGGGTGTTTCGAACTCTTTTAAAGGGATAGGGGTGTTTCGAACTCTTTCAAGGGGATAGGGGTGTTTCGGACTCTTTCAAGGGGATAAGGGGTGTTTCGGACTCTTTCAAAGGGATAGGGGTGTTTCGAACTCTTTCAAGGGGATAAGGGGTGTTTCGGACTCTTTCAAAGGGATAGGGGTGTTTCGGACTCTTTCAAGGGGATAAGGGGTGTTTCGGACTCTTCGAACTCTTTCAAAGGGAAAGGGGGTGTTTCAGGCTCTTCCAAAGGAATCATTTCAAGGGGCTTAGGTCGGGTGTTTCGGACCTCTTTCAAAGGGATTGNTCAGGGCTAGGGGTGTTTTCGGACTCTTTTATAAGGATTGTGGGGTTCGGACTCTTTCATAGGGATAGGGGGTGTTTCAGACTCTTTCATTGGGATAGGGGGTGTTTCGGCCTCGTTCAAGGGGATAGGGAGTGTTTCGGACTCTTTCAAAGGGATTGGGGGGGTTTCGGACTCTTTCAAAGGGATAGGGGGGTTCGGACTCTTTCAAAGGGATAGGGGGTGTTTCGGACTCTTTCAAAGGGATAGGGGTGTTTCGGACTCTTTCAAGAGGATAGTTTTTTTCGGACTCTTTCATAGGGATAGAGGGTGTTTCACACTCTTTCAAGGGGATAAGGGGTGTTTCGGACTCTTTTATAAGGATTGTGGGTGTTTCGGACTCTTTCATAGGGATAGGGGGTGTTTCAGACTCTTTCATAGGGATAGGGGGTGGTTCGGCCTCGTTCAAGGGGATAGGGAGTGTTTCGGACTCTTTCAAAGGGATAGGGGTGTTTCGGCCTCGTTGAAAAGGATAGGGGTTGTTTCGGACTATTTTATAGGGATAAGGGTTTTTTCGGATTCTCATTTTTATAGGGATAGGGGGTGTTTCGGACACTTTAGAAGGGATTAGGGGTGTTTCGGACTGTTTCAAAGGGATAGTGAGTTTTCCGGACTCTTTCAAAGCGATAGGGGTGTTTCGGACTCTTTTAAAGGATAGGTTTTTTTCGGGCTTTTCAAAGGGATAGGGGGTGTTTCGGACTCTTTCAAGGGGATAGTGATTTTTCCGGACTCTTTCAAAGCGATAGGGGTGTTTCGGACTCTTTTAAAGGGATAAGGGTGTTTCGGACTCTTTCAAAGAGATTGGGGGTGTTTCGGACTCTTTCAAGGGGATAGGGTTTTTTTTCGGAATCTTTCAAAGGGATAGGGGAGGTTTCGTACTGTTTCAGAAGGATAAGGCGTGTTCTGGATTCTTTCAAAGGGATAGGGGGTGTTTCGGACTCTTTCAAAGGGATAGGGGGGTTCGGACTCTTGCAAAAGAATAGGGGGAGTTTCGGATTCTTTCAAAAGGATTGGGGGTGTTTCGGACTCGTTCAAGTGTATAGGGGTGTTTCGGTCTCATTTAAAGGGATAGGGTTTTTTCGGGCTTTTTCAAAGGGATAGGGGGTGTTTCGGACTCTTTCAAGGGGATAGTGAATTTTCCGGACTCTTTCAAATCGATAGGGGTGTTTCGGACTCTTTCAAAGGGATAGGGGTGTTTCGGACTCTTTCAAAGAGATTGGGGGTGTTTCGGACTTTTTCAAGGGGACAGGGTTTTTTTCGGACTCTTTTGAAGGGATAGGGTTTTTCCGGAATCTTTCAAAGGGATGGGGGAGGTTTCGTACTGTTTCAAAAGGATAGGGCGTGTTCTGGATTCTTTCAGAGGGATAGGGGGTGTTTCGGACTCTTTCAAAGGGATAGGGGGGTTCGGACTCTTGCAAAAGAATTGGGGGAGTTTCGGATTCTTTCAAAAGGATTGGGGGTGTTTCGGACTCGTTCAAGTGGATAGGGGTGTTTCGGTCTCATTTAAAGGGATACGGTTTTTTCGGGCTTTTTCAAAGGGATAGGGGGTGTTTCAGACTCTTTCAAAGGGATAGGGGGTGTTTCGGACTCTTTTTAAGGGATAAGGGGTGTTTCAGACTCTTTCAAAGGGATCGGGGGTGTTTCGGACTCTTTCAAGGGGATTGGGGGTGTTTCGGACTCTTTGGGGGTGTTTTCGGACTCTTCAAAAGGATTTAGGGGTGTTTCGGACTCTTTGGTTTCGGACTCTTTAAAGGGATAGGGGTGTTTCGGACTCTTTCAAAAGGGATAGGGGTGTTTCGGACTCTTTCAAAGGGGTAGGGGGTGTTTCGGACTCTTCCAAAGGGATATGGGGTGTGTCGGACTCTTTCAAGAGGATAGGGGGTGTTTCAAACTCTTTCAAAGGGATAGGGGGTGTTTCGGACTCTTTCAAATGTATAAGATTATTTCAGATTCTTTGAAACGGTGTTTTGGACTCTTTTATAGGTATTGTTGGTGTTTCGGAATCTTTCATAGGGATAGGGGGTGTTTCACACTCTTTCAAGGGGATAGGGGGTGTTTCGGACTCTTTTATAAGGATGTTTCGGACTCTTTCAAAAAGGGATAGGGGTGTTTCGGACTCTTTCAAAGGGGTAGAGGGTGTTTCGGACTCTTCCAAAGGGATATGGGGTGTGTCGGACTCTTTCAAGGGGATAGGGGGTGTTTCAAACTCTTTCAAAGGGATAGGGGGTGTTTCGGACTCTTTCAAAGGTATAGGGGGTGTTTCGGACTCTTTCAAATGTATAAGATTATTTCAGATTCTTTGAAACGGTGTTTTGGACTCTTTTATAGGGATTGTTGGTCTTTCGGAATCTTTCATAGGGATAGGGGGTGTTTCACACTCTTTCAAGGGGATAGGGGGTGTTTCGGACTCTTTTATAAGGATTGTGGGTGTTTCGGACTCTTTCATAGGGATAGGGGGTGTTTCAGACTCTTTCATTGGGATAGGGGGTGTTTCGGCCTCGTTCAAGGGGATAGGGAGTGTTTCGGACTCTTTCAAAGGGATTGGGGGGTTTCGGACTCTTTCAGGGGGGGGTTCGGACTCTTTCAAAGGGATAGGGGGGACTCTTTCAAAGGGATAGGGGGTGTTTCGGACTCTTTCAAGAGGATAGTTTTTTTCGGACTCTTTCATAGGGTTAGAGGGTGTTTCACACTCTTTCAAGGGGATAAGGGGTGTTTCGGACTCTTTTATAAGGATTGTGGGTGTTTCGGACTCTTTCATAGGGATAGGGGGTGTTTCAGACTCTTTCATAGGGATAGGGGGTGTTTCGGCCTCGTTCAAGGGGATAGGGAGTGTTTCGGACTCTTTCAAAGGGATAGGGGTGTTTCGGCCTCGTTGAAAAGGATAGGGGTTGTTTCGGACTATTTTATAGGGATAAGGGTTTTTTCGGATTCTCATTTTTATAGGGATAGGGGGTGTTTCGGACACTTTAGAAGGGATTAGGGGTGTTTCGGACTGTTTCAAAGGGATAGTGAGTTTTCCGGACTCTTTCAAAGCGATAGGGGTGTTTCGGACTCTTTTAAAGGGATAGGTTTTTTTCGGGCTTTTTCAAAGGGATAGGGGGTGTTTCGGACTCTTTCAAGGGGATAGTGATTTTTCCGGACTCTTTCAAAGCGATAGGGGTGTTTCGGACTCTTTTAAAGGGATAAGGGTGTTTCGGACTCTTTCAAAGAGATTGGGGTGTTTCGGACTCTTTCAAGGGGATAGGGTTTTTTCGGAATCTTTCAAAGGGATAGGGGAGGTTTCGTACTGTTTCAGAAGGATAAGGCGTGTTCTGGATTCTTTCAAAGGGATAGGGGGTGTTTCGGACTCTTTCAAAGGGATAGGGGGGTTCGGACTCTTGCAAAAGAATAGGGGGAGTTTCGGATTCTTTCAAAAGGATTGGGGGTGTTTCGGACTCGTTCAAGTGTATAGGGGTGTTTCGGTCTCATTTAAAGGGATAGGGTTTTTTCGGTCTTTTTCAAAGGGATAGGGGGTGTTTCGGACTCTTTCAAGGGGATAGTGAATTTTCCGGACTCTTTCAAATCGATAGGGGTGTTTCGGACTCTTTCAAAGGGATAGGGGTGTTTCGGACTCTTTCAAAGAGATTGGGGGTGTTTCGGACTTTTTCAAGGGGACAGGGTTTTTTTCGGACTCTTTTGAAGGGATAGGGTTTTTCCGGAATCTTTCAAAGGGATGGGGGAGGTTTCGTACTGTTTCAAAAGGATAGGGCGTGTTCTGGATTCTTTCAGAGGGATAGGGGGTGTTTCGGACTCTTTCAAAGGGATAGGGGGGTTCGGACTCTTGCAAAAGAATTGGGGGAGTTTCGGATTCTTTCAAAAGGATTGGGGGTGTTTCGGACTCGTTCAAGTGGATAGGGGTGTTTCGGTCTCATTTAAAGGGATACGGTTTTTTCGGGCTTTTTCAAAGGGATAGGGGGTGTTTCAGACTCTTTCAAAGGGATAGGGGGTGTTTCGGACTCTTTTAAGGGGATAAGGGGTGTTTCAGACTCTTTCAAAGGGATCGGGGGTGTTTCGGACTCTTTCAAAAGGATAGGGGTGTTTCGGACTCTTTCAAAGGGATAGGGGTTTTCGGACTCTTTAAAGGGGATAAGGGGTGTTTCGGACTCTTTCAAAGGGATAGGGGGTTTTCGGACTCCTTCAAGGGATAGGGGGTGTTCGGACTCTTTCAAAAGGGATATTTGGACTCTTTCAAAAGGGATAGGGAGTGTTTCGGACTCTTTCAAAGGGGTAGGGGGTGTTTCGGACTCTTCCAAAGGGATAGGGGGTGTTTTGGTCTCTTTCAAGGGGATAGGGGGTGTTTCGGACTCTTTCAAAGGGATATTCGGACTCTTTCAAAAGGATAGGGGTGTTTTCGGACTCTTTCAAAGGGTAGGGGGTGTTTCGGACTCTTCAAAGGGTAGGGGTGTGTTGGTCTCTTTCAAGGGGATAGGGGTGTTTCGGACTCTTTCAAGGGAAGGGGGTTTCGGACTCTTTCAAAAGGGATAGGGGTGTTTCGGACTCTTTCAAAAGGGATAGGGGTGTTTCGGACTCTTTCGAAGGGGTAGAGGGTGTTTCGGACTCTTCCAAAGGGATATGGGGTGTGTCGGACTCTTTCAAAGGAATAGGGGGTGTTTCAAACTCTTTCAAAGGGATAGGGGGTGTTTCGGACTCTTTCAAATGTATAGGGGGTGTTTCGGACTCTTTCAAATGTATAAGATTATTTCAGATTCTTTGAAACGGTGTTTTGGACTCTTTTATAGGGATTGTTGGTGTTTCGGAATCTTTCATAGGGATAGTGGGTGTTTCACACTCTTTCAAGGGGATAGGGGGTGTTTCGGACTCTTTTATAAGGATTGTGGGTGTTTCGGACTCTATCAAAAGGGATAGGGGGTGTTTCGGACTCTTTCAAAGGGGTAGAGGGTGCTTCGGACTCTTCCAAAGGGATATGGGGTGTGTCGGACTCTTTCAAGGGGATAGGGGGTGTTTCAAACTCTTTCAAAAGGATAGGGGGTGTTTCGGACTCTTTCAAAGGTATAGGGGGTGTTTCGGACTCTTTCAAATGTATAAGATTATTTCAGATTCTTTGAAACGGTGTTTTGGACTCTTTTATAGGGATTGTTGGTCTTTCGGAATCTTTCATAGGGATAGGGGGTGTTTCACACTCTTTCAAGGGGATAGGGGGTGTTTCGGACTCTTTTATAAGGATTGTGGGTGTTTCGGACTCTTTCAAAAGGGATAGGGGGGTTTCGGACTCCTTCAAGGGATAGGGGTGTTTCGGACTCTTTCAAAAGGGATAGGGGTTTTTCGGACTCTTTCAAAAGGGATAGGGAGTGTTTCGGACTCTTTCAAAGGGGTAGGGGG